TATGTAGGAATTTCAACGGGTAGTGTTTTTACCATTTTAAAATCTAAATGAAAATACCGTAAGATTTTCTGAAGGTGGATTCCCCATATACTTTCCAAAGCTCAGGAGAGGGGTCGCTTACAAAAAATAAAAAACTTCCGAAAATGTTTAAAGATATGGACGCTAGGAAGCTTAGTCAGATTGTCATATGTGACGAAACGTGGATCCACTTTTTCCAGCCAGAAAAAAAAGTTAAAAACCAGTCTGGGTTGGGAAGAATATGAAGTCTCTAAAACTGCAAAAAGAACCCAAACTTCAAAGAAAGCTTTATCTGCAATATGTTTCATTTCAAATGGTTTGGTAGTCCAATATACAGTCCCTCAGGGGAGAAGTGTTACTAGAAATATGTATTCTTCAAGAACACTTTTGAGACTTTATAAATTGTACAAAAAAAGACAACCAAATACCGGTTTGAGAGGTATTAAACTTCTTTATGACTATGCTCCTGCCAATACAGCAAAAGTTACTCGAGACCATCTACAGCGTCACAAAGTTATCGAGCTTCCGCATCCTGCACATTCACCTGGTCTTTCTCCTTGTGACATTTCTTACTTCCAAAACTAAAAGAAGCTCTCTATGGAAGGCGTTTTCAATCGCAATCAGCGCTGTGATCAGCTATTTTTCAGTATTTAAGGGGTATACCACAATATAATTACAAAAAAGTGTTGTGAACCGTATTTTACGACTTCAACTCAGTTTTTAATATAACGGAGACTACCTTGAAGGAATGCAATACATAATTTAAACTTTCATTTTGTTTTTGTTGCTCTCATATGGTTAGGAAAAAAAATACTGAACGCCCCTCGTATGTTTCAAAAATATTTATGGTAGAAAGTGCCGACCAATTCATTTCCAGTCAAAGATCAATTAATGATATAAATGTATACGTAGTAAGGCTAGCTGTCTCAATCATTTCTTTAGAGCATCTGTGATCAAGCAGTCTTATCCCTACCCTTTGGGAATTAGATAGAAGAACTGTTGGCCAGGTTATAACATATGTCATTGCTTGCTAACCTTTTATTTCAAAATTAATTTGGCATAGATTAACTTATTAAGACTAATGTGATATTGTTTAATATGATGGGCATTTGGCAAAGTTTAACACAACCAGTATAGAACGCTATCAATGTTTTAATATTGTTATAATTAATGCCTACACCACAGGGGATTGATAAACACATATTTTAAGGAACGGAAAAATCATGGAAACCATGACATGATTTTCTTGCTCTCTAAACTGTTTAGATACATGTAATTTGTATTTTTTTGACGGGCTTGTCATACTTATATAATAAAATCTATCTAATTATATGATAAATTGCACTTGTGTAGAGAGGGTCCTTCAGATAAATTTCGATTGATTTTGAGATCAAAGATGTTTCAAGTTCATAAATATGTAGTAGAAAAAAATTCTCTCAAAGTTCATTTGATTTTTTTTAATATTGGGTTTTTAATTACGAAAGGTTTACACAGAAAATATTTGTTTGATTAGTGCATGTGCATGAATTTTTCCGCCAATTTTTTCAAAACTTTTTCGACGCCCTTTTAGGTATAAGTCACATTATCCAACGATGGGGTATACGATGAGTAACCGATGCGTTTTTGATGAAAATGGCGTGGTTGCCGGTCGGGCACCACTAGTGATCGGACGGTGACTGAGTCGTTTTTGCGAATCGGTGGGGTCATCGGTAGGAAAAAATTCGTAGTTGAAATTCAGCGATGTCTCTACCGATACCTCACATCGCTCCTCATCGGCAACCCATCATTAACACATCTTTCAAGGATCGGCCAATGTATGGCCGAGCATCGTCCAATATTCGTTGAATCTGAGGTCATCGGGGAGTTTACTGGTTTTCAACAGATAACGACCAATCATCGGTCGATGTTCGACCAAACATTGGCCCGTAGTCGACCGATGTACGAACGATGTTCACCAATGTATGAGCGATGTAATATACATCGACCGATTATCCTGGAACATCTTTTTATGATTAGCAATGCATCGCTGGGCTTTTGTAAGTCCGGCCGGCAACCACGCCATTTACATCAGAAAATGCATTGGTTGCCCATCGTATGCACATCGCTTGATAATGTGCCTGGTACTTTATGGACTACTAGACCGATGTGGACCGATGTTGGGGCATCGTTATCACCACGGATTACCACCGATTACCACCGGTATACGGCTACCGGCCGGGAAATGTGACCTAGACATTAATAATGTCGTAAAATTTTTAATACTGGCTGATTATTGCCGTGTTAAAGAACAATATAACCTGTCATCAAAGGAAAAAGAATTATGAATAAAAGATGAATAAGCAAAATTAAAATTGAAAGAAGAATAAAACATTGAAGAGGGGTCGTTAAAAGGAGACTAACAAAATTAAAGATGGACCGGACCGAGGTCGTTTAAAGACACCAACACTGCTGAATAGAATGTTACAATACCTAATATGTAGAG